GTTGCTGCTTCTGCAGTTTGAAGGATCTAGAGAGGGGGTACTTTTAGGCGAATTGATAGGAATGCGGTACAGAATCGAAAACGGCTTATTCTTATCCACCCTATGGTTCATTTCAACCATCGGTGCTGATATGGGGATGGTAATGGACTTTACCACACCCTCACCTAGACATACTGAGAGGTATCCACGAGTACGGAAAATAGAATTCCAAGAGCAGCTGCTGATGTGGCTGGTTCCACAGGAGTAGTAAAACTGATAAGCACAACAGGAAGTGAACAATCTGTGTAATTCATCTTTCAGTCCCGGTGTCACTGAGACACCGAGCATTAAAAGTTCTCTGATTTGATTTGCGTAGTTTCTGAATTAATATGTCTATGAGCACGCTACCTCTAAATTATACTTGAATACATACCGGTTACCTGCTAGCTGTCTGAACATACTTTCTTGTCACTTTTGTGATCATATGTTTCATTATGAATTTATCAGGACATCTGAATAACGGCTATATGATCAGAAGATACAACTGAGGAGCGCAGCTCTGTGTACACCTCTGATAAGCTTGGTCGCAAGCGAAAGAAACGGTCGTCCGGTGTTAAGATCATTATGATCTGGTTTGTGAAATCTACAGACCAGTCTCAACAATTTTGAACTACCGAAATCGTTCAATATTAGTATTTTTCATCCAAGGTGATCAGTGTCATCACTGCTTAAATTCTATAGGCGTTGAGAATTTTGATGTTCGGTGTGGGAACTATCTGTGTGAAGTGCTGTCTATTCAGTGTTTCAGTTAGTTGAAAGAAATCGGAAAGATCCACGTTTGTTCAGTAAGATGGGCTATGAAGTGTCAGTTGGATAGGCAAAATCTTCAGGAAGACCTGCATCTAGATTTTATGCTTTTTGGTACTCGTCAGGAAGACGTATCTGAAACCTTGACGGAAACGATCTCTTATAGGATTGGATAAGGTACATTGATTTTCCACTTGAAGGTAATCTGTTTCCTGTTGTCTAGCTTTGTATGCTGATCGAATTATATCATTTTGCAGTATGGCCACCAGGTTAGGTGAGTCAATATGATGATTCACTGAGGGCGACGTTAGTTGGATGAAGGCTTGAATTGCGAAGGAGATGTTAGCAGTGAAAAGAATCCCAGTATGTTGCTATAATACTGATACTAATGCTACTACTATTGATAATAATGACTTCATTCTGAAGGATATTTCGAGAATATTCTACAGAATTTTCAAGATGTCATACAGCATCAGTAGGAAACAGACAGTAAACATATACACATAGAAAAATGAAATAAGTAGAAATCACATAAACAAACAAGATAAGAATATTCCTTCTATCTACAACTTTCTTGAAAATGTATAGCTGATTTCGGTAGACAATCACATTAGCAATTAGGTTTATAATACGTAAATAGTAACGTGCTCATCATCATCATCAATGAGTTTGTTTTCAAAAACAGAAGTTGATTAGTCAGTTAGTTCATTTCTAATGCTTTCTTTATTATGTAGGAGACAAGCCGAACACGGCACTGTAGAGTTTTTATATTTTGTAATACATGCATAAAGTCTTATATACATGCTCCCTGTCTTTCAAGATGACCAACACGCAGAGAGCTTTGAATGAAGAGTATGCTGACCATCTGATAAAATAACTCCTGCCAGATGTTTGCATGAGTTAAGATGTTTGTTCATAACTGTTTTAACTAGAAGGTTCGGAGGTATAAGCCTAAATCCGTTGACAATCTTCCAAGTTCTACACAATACAGCATAGTCTTTTTTCAACAAAGCAGGCAAAAATAAAGGAGGACAATGGAAGAGAACAGGCAAGGTGCAGGAGTTTATAAAACATAAGAGAGACTGAGTTATACCAGACACTCTCAGCTTTCTAATAGGCAGAAAATGTTTTTGGAAATTAATAAGATATGGGAGGACCTGGAAAAACACATACCGAGATAAATCACACTCGTAACATTCTCTAATGCACAAGTATCAATAGAACAAGAATCCTGAGTACTAAGCAGTTTACACAGATGATGTTAGCATCTGAAACTGAAGTTAACAGTCTGACATTTTGAAGAATTAGGCATAAGACCATTCACAGAGGACCACTCATGTAACAGTAGGTAGGAAATCGTTCACTTGATAACAATTCGTTAAAGAGGAGGCAGGTATGGATACTGTCAGGTCATTAGCTTATTTGATGAAATTGCTGTCGGTTGAAGATGGTGAGAGATGCAGAAAGAAAGAGCAAAGACTGCGGTAAAGCATGGCTCTTTGGAGAACACCGGTCACAGTAAGCAAAAGATTTCACTAGACTAATCTAATTTAAAGGTTTAAAAGTCAAGTAATATGATTTAGACTGATGAATTCATACTGAATTAATCTTAAAACAAGGCACAAATGAAAACTGTAGATTTCTGTTAATAACCTGAAGAAAGTTAAATGAAGAGTTTTAGTCTTGAAAAATGTAATACATCTCGATGATTTTGCTAGTTCTTGATAACTTTGATTAAAGTCAATATAAGTTTTTGCATTGATAATTTATATGTTCACACGTAATCGAATTATTTATGGTACAGTGCGCCATAGAAAAAGTTTGAAAGAATAAAATAACATTTATGAAATGGCATGTTAAAGGCTTTTAGGTAAGCAAAATAAAAAAAAATGTAGACAAAGTAGAGATGAGAGGTCATTTTCGCTATGTAAGGCGATTCACTATCATGTTGTTTGAGTCAGACAAGAGTGATTTCAAACAAATATTGTGCCTTATAAATATTCTACTAAGTTAAATGTGAAATTGAACATTGATTACATATGCTTTTATTGCTACAGTCATTAAAAGCAGATATTGGGAGTCAGACAGCAGAAAGATGTAGACCGAAGTCTTGTTAGCATATCAGAAACCATGATTGTTTAGATCTGTGTCACTCAGTGTTGAGATCAAAGACTTTTCTTTTAAGTTGTACAGATGATGAATAGCCCCCTAAAAGAGTGGAGTAATTACACGAACTGATCATCTATGGGTAACTGATGTAGGTTTCCTGTGTCTAATAATCAACTTTACCTCAGATGTGTCGATCAAAACTCCAGTAGTCTTATTTAATATTACGTAAGCTTAACTGTAACAACTAGGAGCAAATATGGTGTCGCTGACCTCAACATTGAGCGATGCATGTTTGAATCATTTAGAGAACACCGATTTCCTCATGGATATAAATTCACCCTGATAACCAGTACCAACAAACACGATACCTAGGACTTCTTGTCAATTGAATCTCAAAATACAGAGTATCGCAGTTTTCCATCACTTAGCTTAGTGATTGACGAACTTGGATTAGTTCTAAGCACTAAGGACTAGACAACTTTATCTATTAAAAGGATGTTGTTTGTTAATGTTGATTGATTAGATTTTACTGGAATTATCTTGATCTGATTGACTGATGATCTTTTTCTTTGTAGCGACAGTTGATTCCCATAGTTGGTTTGTTTCAGTAGGGCTCATAAATTGCATCCAGGCAGATATGGAGAGTTACTGCCAATTTGTTTGAGCACCGAGAGTTCTGTGACCATTTTCAAATTTCCACTTCCGATTATTTTGAAGTCTTCTTAGTCGAATGTGTGCTTATGATTTTTACACTATACTTTTCATGTCGGTGTTGTGTAACTGGTCTACCTGAAAAAATCTACTCAGTACTGTCTACAATTCTCGACATTCAATTTGTAGGTACCATTCATCATTACTTCTTTGTTTACTGAGTCCTTTACTTTGCTCAAGACATATTGTAATGATTATTTCAGTCTGAGTGACACTAAGATTCGAAGCGATTGCAGCCATCTTATTGTCGTTTCTAAGATATTCTTGATTGTCTTGAAGGATGATCTTTCTGTTGAGTTTCTCAATGGATTTTGATCATTTTCGTTTGGAATAATATCTCTTGATGAAATTATTTACGTGGCGATTGAGGTAAAAGATTTAAAACAAAAGTATTTTGTCATATCTCCTTGGTTTCATTGTTCGACTAAGTGGAGTTGTTACACAGCTTTTCTTGTGCTTTGTCGGATTGTTGCTGTTTTGCAATTTGGAGTCCGATTTGTGCAGGTCTTTCTCCTGAACAATTGATTTTCAAGGTATCCATCGTCACGTTTTTTGATAAAAACATTTAAGAACATCATTTGTCTCCAATATTCTTATTTTTCCGTGAGTTTGACTCCTTTGAAAGCATCATTCAACATCCATGATACTTATTTTGATTTGGTCTGAGTCAGATAAGCTGAGAACCGGTGAATAGCTTTCAAACAGCTAAGTAGTAGTAGTGTAACAAACCACAAGACTGAGAAACAGGACAGAATGTTTATTTTGATATCTTTTACAGTAGTGATGAAACGGTCATTTGCATAATGTATTTTATTTCCTCTTCTACTTCTTTTTCGACTTGTTGCTAATACGCTCATATTGTCTCTAGGGTTTCTCTGGGCAAAATATTTACCCATCACTGATAAATACCGATGACTTGTAGCTATCTGTCAAAGTATACTACTTATATCCATTCATATCAGTAAAACCCATTACAGTAGTATTAGTAGTAGTAGTAGTAGTAGACCTTCGCATATGGACTCCTGAAGTTTATCCTTAAAATATTATCAGTTTCAAAAGGAAAACTACATCATAGACAAGGGTTATCAATATGAATTTGTTTTACATGACTTAAATTCGACAGAAATGCTAAATTTACTAACTGCCATTATATATTGTACTCCTATAGATTCTCTTAGAATCCTTAACTGATGATTTCTTACAATTTACGAAACTGGATAGATCTCTGATAAAATGAATATGTACACTGGAATTTAGGTGTCAAACTGTTTGTTAAACTATTGACCAGTGTAGAGCAACCTTTGTATATTATCATATGTACACAGAAACTAAATTTTGTCGAATGACAGTGGTTTTTACAACAATATATCATTATTAACGAGTAATGTGTTACTATGAATAAAGTAATTATTTTGTAAGTAACAACATAATTCAACTAATTACTCCTTAGTTCTATCTGGAGGTTTGTGGAGATTTATCAGCTGAATTTAGGTTGGAAATCATCACCGCTCTGTATCGTGAACTGAGAGAAGTAGGAAATATAAACTATTAGATCCCTACCCAGTGGTTCAATGGTAACGTGCTGGTGATGGAACTTGAAGGCCCTGGATTTGATCTCTGATGGGGTGGGGTCATCGGTGCTCGCTTCGAAGGAGTACCATTCTGTGACGAAACAGCTGTCCAGTGCTTCCAGGTTTCCAATGTTCCTCCAACTAATGTAAGTCTATGATGAATTTGAACTTGAAATTAATTACTCCTCAGGTTAACTATCAGAATTCCTCCTTCCAGATCACTGCTCATCAAAATTTCAATCTGCAGGCATGATGTTCATGAGAGAATAAAATTCATCTTAAAACAAATGATAATTTGCTGAATGATCACATATTAAGGATAATAATGATATTATTATTGCTGCTCCCACTACTATTATTACTTCCATTACCATCACAGCTACCCCAACTACTACTACTACTACTACTACTACTACTACTACTACTACTACTACTACTACTACTACTACTACTACTACTACTACTACTACTACTACTACTACTACTACTAATGATAATAATAATAAGACTACATGCATAAAAATGTACGGTATTTATTTTTCGGTATTGTTATAACTAATGTTGATTATACCCAACTAATAACAGCAACAACAGCAATCACCAGTCAACAGCAACGGGAGAGATCTGAAGGAAGTTATGTCTTTCACTCACCTGCCTAGGTAGCATCTTTCCAACTACGAGTCGGCGGCACAGATGAGGATGTCAAACCCAGGATCAGTGGGACAGCAAGATAAGCCTTCATTAGTCTGGAATCAGTGTAGAGATCTACTGCACTGCACTCAATATAAAGAATAAGTGCTTCTATGTGATGGTTGAGAGACTTGGCGCCTAACGAAAAGCATTTCCAACAAACTGCAGAAATACATCACATCAGCAGCTGCCGCCTACGCTCACTCGATACTGATACTGAAGGTCAGATAGCCAGAATGCTAAGAATGAGCAACGAGGAACTCGGGCCTACAACGAACCAACCAAGAACTCATCGCCAAACAAATATGCAGACGAAAGTGGAGATGGATTGGACTGGATTGGATATACACTGGGAAGACCGATTGGAGACATCAGGCGCCAGGTCAGATCCTCAAGTGGGAGCTGAGTGGGAAAGGTCGAATTGGGTGTCGGTGTCGAGAGTGACATGAAGGAAGTCGTGTGATGGAGAAATGAAAGCTTGTGGGCAGTGGTGGAGCCAGGTTGAAAAGACTGCAGTGAAGAGAGTGAAATGGTGACGTGCTACTGAAGCCTTATGTTCCTCTAGGAACCCAAGCAACAAATCATAATAAATGATAATGTTGATTACAAAACGGTGAGGGCATTTAATTGAATCTAATGTCTTATATTTCAATGCTGAAAATGCAATGACTGAACTTTCAAACTGATTACGATTTAGCCATACTATAAAATTCGATTATTTCTCTGGGTAGCCTTTTATTTTTCAGCTTCAAATTAGGTTGACTGTTTCCTGTTAGTGATGGTCGTTTACATTAATCATTCCTAAGAATTAATGATAACAAGGGTATTTTATAGTCTTGGGGTTAATGAGCCATAGTATCAAGTGGTTTACGAGGGTTTCTTTGTGATATGTTATGATTCAGACAGGATTTTAGTTTTTCAGTGAAGGTCATCCTTATATAACACTGTAAAGTTGAATTTGTCATATATGTAAGTTTCTTTGTGCATATACTAACTGATAAATATACAAATGCAGACAAAGGCATGTTTCATGACAGCAGAAGTTGTACAACATAAGCTATAATTGATATGCTAATGAATCATTTATGTCTCTTGTATAATTTATCATGCAGAATTGTACCAGTTAGTGTTTTTCGATAGTAAACACAATGATAAAATGCAACAGTATCAGATTACATACACCTCAAGTCTAACACTACATTATTTCAGCAACAGCGATAAACAAAATATGAGAAGAATTGGCTACCAAACCAAAATTTACAAATAATAACCTTTCTGAAAGTGATTTCACTAACCTTTATTCTTCAAGGTGTAATCATAATTTAGTGTTATTGCTTGCATTACACCGTCGTTGATTGGACCAAATTGATCAGTCTCTGTTGGCATATGGGCTCCTTGTGCGGATGCCTCGATATTGCCTGTCTTTTTAACTAAGTATAGTAATGATGGGCGGTGGTTAGCAGTGGAATCCATGATGCGCATTCCGTCCTATTTGGGACTCGTCAGCTGGATGTACCTGCCTCTCAGTGAGTGATGCTATTCCCACCGGTACTCCGACTCGGAATCGGTCGCTTCAAACGCCAGAGCGTTATCCCGGTGGGAACAACATCACTCATTGAGAGGCAGGTACAGCCAGCTGACGAGTCCCAAATAGGACGGAATGCGCATCCTGGATTCCACTGCTAACCACTGCCCATCATTACTATGTAATCATAATTGTCTGACAACTTAGTTTGTCTATTCTTATAGCAAATAGTACACCTTAAACCAGATTTGTAGACGCATTCTACAAAATTCCGTTGAACTGACCCCCATTAATGGTCACATTTCCAACTATTTTCTGTTTTTACTCTTGAAGGAGTCGATATCACCTCGAAAGTGAGAATTCACACCGCTCAACGCCTTGACTCAAGATGCTACAAGTTAATCGGTAAAGACAAATACTAATCCCTCATAGGATTGATTAATATGAATAGATTAGTAAGCAGATGATGACTTAATTAGATACCTGTAGCCTGATTATGACTAAATTTCGCCATTCACTAAATCTCTAGTCGTCGCCGTTCAAAGGAACTGATCAGCATTCTTGAAAGACGTGATATTAACATTAAAAGGTATAAGTGAACCATTTATAAATATCTTTTGACAGTGATATCTTCTATAGTCAACCAAAGAGTCAGGAATAAAACCAACTGGCCGTTCAAATTTTAAGTATCACCTGCACTATATCATTTTATTTGCTGATTTTTTAACAATATCGTTAGGAAGGTGATGCTCCGTTTTTGATGACTAGTCAGTTAATATAAGTATAAAACTTGAGGGTAGTTGTAGAATTTAACTCTATAGTAGATTTGTTTATCTCATTCATAAAACACAGTGATACAGTAGAATTTACTTAATGACGTTTCAAGTATAAATTATTCCTCATAATCAGATCAATGTGATCACATTGCTTTCCACATCTTATTTTCATAGTCCTGTCACATAGCATGTTCCGTTTTCAAATGTAGTAAAAATTTTCACATCTCTGGTAAAGGTATTGTGTCATTTCAATTAGGTGCTTTCAATTCTGTTGACTCGATGAACAAAGATTCAGTGATCAATCACTCTAAATATCTATCTAGTTATATTGGACTTAAGTAGAATGGTTTTATGCCACCCATCCTATTGAGTGGTTGTGTATTAATGCATACATTTCAATAGCTTAGTCCTTTTCTAGATTATTGATCTTATTCAGGTCTATCATTCTGCCTATCGCTAAACTCCTATATTTGATAGTTCAGCTGACCTTGATCGACTAAGTTGACCAATGTACTTGGCGTCATATTCATTACATGGAATTTAGTAGATTAAATTATTTTGCTGAATAAGGTCTATCAAATTCTTAAGCGGACAAACCTTATCTCTGAGTAAGTTTGTAGGTTTAAATGCTTCCTCGATTCCAGCTTTGTAGAGAATCGTACGTGGAGTTTCTGATACACCTTCTGTACAGGATAACACAATGGATGTTGTGAACTCCTGTTCTATTTGTGTTGTTGTTACTGTTATTATTTCATTTCCTGTATGCTCGTACGAATTTCTTAATACACTTTAGATGATAACTAATAACTATTACTGCTTCTTTTATATGCTTCAGTTCCTAGTTTAGGTCCTTGCTCGTTTAAACATTTGACTAAACCTGCTTTAATTGGCATTGGATGAGATGATTTGAAGTGTACATAATTGTTAGGATGTGTTGGTTTTCTGTAGACGGTAGTAGTGGTTCACATACATGAGTACGACTTATAACAACAACCGAAATAGAAAGGTGTTATAGAACAGTGAATGGTTCCACAGCCTCACATCAAGTGTTAACTTGACATTCAGCTCCTTCATTCTACTGTTTCTCCTCAATAAAGAAGATGAATGCCTGAATGAAAGTGAAAAACTGTGACAATGGAACCATTTAACTGACTGAAATATGAAAATTATCATATTTCAGCAGTTTCGGCTATTGGTCACATCTTCATTTATTCTAATGATAAGTATACTTTAATACATCAATCATTATGTTTAGAGTTGAAACAAATGTTGACAACATTTCAGTATGACAGCTATTCAATAGACATTAACTGAATGGAGGCAATAGGTAGAAAGCCGTGCCTGACCTAAGTTCAGTGATTTTTGGTAATCGTCAGCAAAGCACTTCTGCATCGTCTACAGAACTGATGTCCCGACTGGGATTAGAGCTCTCACCACGCAGTGCTGCAGTCAGAAATGTTATCACTGAACCACTTGGATGGCGGGTAACTTTTTGTAGGACTGGATTAAGTAAACTGATCGGTCACTGCAGGGCAACTGACCTTTTGTTGTCTAGTCCTAAGTGCTGATCGAATCCTACAGATCATTTTACAAAGTAGTCAACAGGCGGGTGAAAACCATTCAAATGTGTACAGCCACATCTTTAATTCGACCATAATTTTTAAAGAACAGTACAATATTCATATTATCTGGATTATTAGGATAACCACACTATGAATGTAGGTAATTTAGTAATATCATAAACAGTTTTTAGCTAACATTTACTTCATTGATAAATTCTAATGATTATTACATGTTGCCGGAACCATTTTTATCCCTCAGAAGTATATCAAACTATGACATTTTCTATATGTCATTATTTCTCATACAATTTACCAATACGATGTTTATTAAGGTTTCATTCTAAATGACATGAATGAAAAGTGAATTCTTATGCAAAAAATGAAGAAAATTTCACAATCTTATTTATATAAATGATGGAATATAAAATGAAATCATAGTACAACATTATACATGTTGAAAGTGTGTTATTCCTGGTTAATTTGATTGAACATTGATCACATGTACATTGAATAAATTAGGTCAAATATAAGAATTGTATCCTTAGTATATTTCTCGATAATAAAAAGAAGATATATCCATAGTATATGTATTATAATGAATGGAATACTCTTTTCTTGATTCACTAAATTAGCACTTTTCTATTCAGTACATTTGATTAGAAACACTCACTTTTTATTTATTCTATACAGTGGTATTTAATTATTCCAGCAGATTAACCTAGAACCATAAACAATTCAGGTTACTACTAAAGAGAAACTTGAAATACAGAAGTGTTTGTAGGAACTGATGAAATCCTTTGTCTACTTGCTGTTTTATCGTCAATTGTGTGTGTGTGTGTGTGTGTGTTGGTGTATGTGTAGACCCCTTCACTTGATATTTAATTAGCATGAATACACCGTTAAACATGTTCTGAGTGAGCTGTTTTCAATGCTTGGGTTTCAAACACTGTCAACAATTTGCATTAACGCTTCAAGAGGAAGTTAAACATTTTCAGAGAAAGA